CAACTCAAGGTCAAACTGCTAATATCATAAAATAGATCTTTTTAAACCCTACAACTTTTGTATTTAACATTTTTTTATACAACGCTTTGTTTTCGAGATATTCAGGTGTTCCGGTATATAATATTCACCCTGTATATATATATATATATATATATATATATATATATATATATATATATATATAATTTTTCTATTCGTTTCTATTCATAATCTCATAATAAGTATCTCATAATAAGATAACGAGATGATGATAATTAGGATTGCGAGTAATTAATTATCATGTTTAACTATTAGAATATTAGCCAATTCGATTGAAAACCGTTTAATTGATATTTGATTTCACGTGAGATAGTTTTTATAGCTTCATGATTACTTTATGATTTTAAAATTAACGCGTCTTACATACTGAATAAGGAAAGAGAATCATTGTTCGATCTGTTATCCAAAATGACTTTATTGCAGCGCCAAGAGTTTTCGCTTTTGCATTCTCTATCACAAAGAGATTCATGAACGAATATACACTGTCAAAGATAGAAATACATAAAGCCGATCCACGGAAATGGCAAGCATCTATATTCAAGATCGTGCCAAAAAATCAGTTACCTGCACATTTTGGTGGTACTTTAACGGACCCAGATGGCAACCCGAGATTTATTTCCAAGGTAATTTTTTGAACTATTTTCTTTTATCTTATATTTATGCACAGTTTATATGAAAACTTTCGATAGAATGTAAACTGGAAGGTTAGTTAATAATTAACTAAATGCTTAGCAAGAAGGATATAAATATATACTATTTTTTTTTTTAAAGAGGAGTGCTTTATTCAGCGCGAAAAATAAAACCTATTATAGAAATTCTTCCGCGGAAATAAAAAAAGCACGTAATGGTTTTCTGCTACACATTATTAATTGATATTTAAAGAACATTTGAATGTTGAGAAATTTATGAAGTTAATAATACTGACGGTACAACAATGTGAGAAGAAGAATTTAACCCTTTCAGGACGGGGGGTTGCTCGGGGAGATCATTATAGAGAAGCACGTATTCTGAGTTTGTGGGATCGTTGAATCCGAATCTGAACTTAGATTTTAAAAATTCTATGATTCAATATGGCGAACCCAATATAGCCTGTTCCGGACAGCCGTTGGGTGTCCATGAGGCACGGGTACGGCGGGCGGCCGAGCCCTAGGCGCCGCTCAACTCGCGGTCGCCGGCCTCCCGCCGCCAGTGCGCGCCGTCGCCGCGACGCGGCGAGCGCGTCGGCCGGAGCCGCTTCTCGCGTTAATTTTCGCTTAGGCGCCTATATAAGCCGCCGCGCGAGACCACTCAAGGCTTTTATGCCTTTTGCCTGTAGCCAGCTTTGACTGCACATCAGGTATTCTTTTACGCTCTAGCTAGCTTCCAATCGCCTTTTTGAGTGCGCAAGCACGTTAGGCACTTGCCTCACTAGAGATATACTTGCATATCTGCATCGATCTTCACTGCCTTAAGAGTGTCGTAGACACGTTGGCATTTGTGTTTAGATTTCGGCAATTCTACACAACTTTTCGCAGTCCTTTAGAGTGCGCCTGCACGTTGGGCTATTGCCTTTAGAGTGTCCGAGGACACATTGGCATCGGTGATACGAAGTGTATGGTAACTCCACAGATCTCCACCTTCTCAATACGATCGAGAATTGAGAGAAGGCTTCGCGCGATTACTTCGGATTACCTGGACGCCTCCACCGCGGTGGACGTCTCGCTTCGCGACATTTCCCGTATTGAATACCGGGTATTAGCGCCAACAGAACTTAGTACGATTGAGCTCACGACTCCGCGCGAGTCGTCGTTGTAATCAAGAACTCTGCGGCAAAGGCCGCAGCTCTCTCGCGAGCCACGCTCGCTATTGCTTCGCTGCCAGGAACGCAGCATATACACGCGAGCCACGCTCGCATTTACGTCCGCCTAGGACATAGACGCTGCCAGAGGTGCAGCCTATACACGCGAGCCAAGCTCGCCTTCACGTCCGCACCGGACTTAGTCGCTGTCAGGGACGCAGCTCACGCGAGCCAAGCTCGCTATTGCTTCGCTGCCAGGGCCGCAGCCCTCCCGCGAGGCATACTCGCTATTACTTCCCTGCAAAAGACACAGCGCTCTTGCAACACCTGATCGCTGGCCTAAGTCTACTCAAGACTTCTACGTCGTTGCATCCACGACACTACATGCGAGGACTCTTCGCTTCTCGCCTTGACGAGACTTAGCATTCGTCACGCACACGGTATTATCAACGCACGTTTACAGTTACCTGCACGTCACCGTCAGGCTTTGACACGGCCACGTCCGCGATTCAGCGTTGCGCTTGCGTGTAGGCTATCATTACAAGACATCGCAGTTGCCGCGTGCGCGACTGATAAAGGCGAGTTCAGCTCGTCTGGCTATCATCTCGGATTCAGCCTCTGTTGCTCCCTCGCCAAACAGAGCTGAATCTCATTCGGACCGGTTCCGACACTCACCAACGGAGACGAACTAGTGTCTTCATATTCTGAGTGACTATCATCCTGCGAAAGGGAGATTCATTCCCAGCGCGGAGGCGCCGGGCAACTCCACGCGGGCTTTATACTGAGCCACGCAGTGCGCTTATACACAAGAGCGCTCTCGCACTTTCCTCTCACCATCTTTCGAGGCTCCTGAATAGGAGAGCACGACATACTCACGCAACTTAATATAGCAGTCGACGAACGTTCGACGGCATTACGAACCAGCCGCTCTAGACCTCAGGCCGTTCGAAACATAGCCGAAAAAATGATAAATAATATAAATATCTTAATTTCTGTGAAATTTAAACTATGAAACTTTTTAAAGATATTTTTTTGAAAACTAAAATCGAATATTTTAAATTTAAAATGCCAACCGAGGAAAAATTTTTTTAGATCTGACTCGACCTAATCACATCGGCTCATTTGTGCTCTCCCTTGCAAAAATGGTTCGTATATCGAAATCAGTCAAGATTTTCATTAATTCAAATTTAGAGAGTATGAAATTCCACGGAAATTGAGTCATATTTACATAATTCGGTATCTTGAAAATCGCCATATTGAATACGTCATTTTGAATTTTTAACTTTTGAAGTCAGATTCAAATTCAGCGACTCTAAAAACCTTTGAAAACCAGAAGAAACCCAAAAATCTTGATTTCTCATTCCTATTAAAAAGTTACGTCCCAGAAAAGCCAATTCTGTCCGTCATATTGGATCAACCATTTTGAATATCAAAATTGTGAGGATTATATTCGAATTCAGCGACCTCTAAATCACCATTATAGCAAACTTCATAAGAGAATTGAAGAAATAGTTTCCAATATAAAAGTGATGAAAGAATAGTTTCCAATATAAAAGCAAGGAACAGTTATGGCATAAAAAGTGACCATCCGTCTTTTTAACCGAAAGGGTTAAAATAATTATATCCGTGATTGCGATTTTGCGGTAATCTGAAATAAGTAAAGAAAAATATATTTTGCTCATTATGGTTATCGTCTCTATCACAATATTGTGACAACTATATGGTTGTCAAAAATATATAAATAATGAAATGTCAGCACTTTTAACAGAAAGATAGGATTACTTCAAATCAAATTAGCTAATAAAATACATATGAATTAGGCTGATAGGAATAAAGACAATAAAAGGAAATCTCTTTAATATTATGATAGAAATTGAAGATGTCCTATCAAGTTGTTCTTGAGATACTATGGCAACCAGTTTAAAAAAATATATTTTCGAGAAAAATGTGTTTATAATTGCGTGTTAGATTTATAAATATCGTGTTCCAATTGAGGCTTTTATACTTTAATCTACTAATAAGTAAAAAGTCATTGATCAAACATTTTTGCAATATTCAATAGCGTTTTCTAACATATGATTTTTAAATCAATATCATTACAAATAACTTAGAGTATTTCAATATTTTTAAAATTTGTTTGCAATATCTAACCTAAAATCGATATTTTGAAATGTTGATCTAATATTCTTCGTTTACCAGGTGATTATTATCACAGTAATAATTTCTCCCATTACTAATAAAATGTTTATAGAGTTGGGAATGAATAAATAAAAGTAACTCAGATAGCATAAGATGAAATCGGTTCTTAAATATTTTTTAAATATGTATGTACTACTTGGGCTACGACAGAGTCTGCTGTATTTTTGCTACCAATCTGCCGTTAAAACCTGTCGACAGACTCTGTGTGCATTCTACCGCCAATCTGTCATCAGAATCTAACAACAGGCTCTGTCGACAGTCTAGCAACAGATTGGGGACGTAGATGTCTATGAATCTATCGACAGATTCTGCTCGAATTTGTCGTCAATCTGACATCAGTTTGTGCACAGATTGTTTATTAGGATAGAACTGGTCACTTATTTTTTTTAACTGCTGTTTCCGTTAGTTAACTTCAATGGTCGAACAAATACTGGTGCCATTGAACTTTTATGATGTTTTTATGGATTACGCTTATAATATATTATTATAATATATTATAAGACGTTATATTATGAGACGTGGTAAAACGCAAAATCACATAATTCATATCGCAAATTAAAGTAACGCAGATTATAAATTCTTATCTACGTAGAACCACAAACATAAATCGTAAACCAACCAAACCAAATCCCTTGAACCCTCAATCCGTAAATCCTAAACTCATCCCTGTTGAAAATTTCCAGGTGGATTCCCACAGCAATCCATGGGAATCTATACAGAAAATTTAAAAGCCATAGGGATTTAAAATCCATATAGGAATCCATGTAGGAAATCAAAATCCATATAGGCATCCACTTTTAAATTCGAAATTCATGTAAGAATCTATATGGAAAATCAAAATCCATATAGTAATCTAGATGGAAAATAAAAATCCATAAATGTATTGCGACGGTACTCGCGAGCGGAACTTCTCGCGAGCGACGGCAAACAGTCGCCTGTTCGCCTCGTCGTCAAATTGCCGTCGGCTCCCGGACACGCCACAAAGATTTCCGCGAGAGTTGGGCGCCAGGTACGGAAAGGCCGCACCACCTCGATAAACGCGAGAATAATTACTGATCACAAAAGAGGCGCGTCCCGAAACCGTCGGGACCGGTAGCTCGTGTTAAATTAAAGTCGGAGACGGGATGGGTTAGGAGGCGAAATCACTAAACTCGGTAACGGTAATAAAGAGACGTTTATTCAGGGACTCTTGCACGTCCCGATAATTAATACACGCGAGACGATATAATTCGCGAGACGGTACACGAAACCCGAGGACGCCTTCCTCGGGCGAGCCTTCTTTTCCGCGCGACCACTCCGCGGACGAGACACGGTACGATACGATACGCGGTACAAATAAATTCGGAGCAGATGGTTGATCTTACAGTTACGGCGACAGCCCTTGCGTCGGCGACGGCGTCGGCGTGGACGGCAGCGGTGGCGGTCCTCTCTCTCTCTCCTTCTCTCTCTCCTCCCGATCTCTCTCTCCGTCCTCTCTCGTCCCGCTCACTCTCTCGCTCTCTCGCTGCACGCTCCCTCTCACTCCGCACTATCTCGCTCTCTCTCTCCGTCCTCGCTCTCTCGCCCACTCGTCACTCTCTCTTTGCTCTCTCGTTCTCTTTCTCTCTCACGCTCGGTACGGTACTGATGACGCGTCTATGTGCGGCA